TATTAATTTGAAAACAACAATACTACATTGTTTCATCCACAATTAATCCTTTTTGAGTCCTTTAGCTGTGTATAATTTCTCTTGTAGTGTGCACACTCTGCTGCTATACAATGGTGCTATTTGTAAGGTCCTTAGACTATTTAACTCATTAAAATGTAAACACACTCCGTATTCACTAAGTTTTTAGTATCTTAGTTTATAACTTGTTTAATAACTCTAAAATTGAAAATAAGTTCAAATATATAGTTTTGACCAAACACATGGATCATCTCAAAATCACTCAAGTGACTCAACACGTTATCTCAGTTTAAAAAAACAATATAAATGTAACACCCGTCATATTTGTTTCCTCTCATTGAATACAATTGCGGATATGATGTTATTCAAATACATTAATGAAAACGTATCGTAGATTTGCATTTCTTTACACGTCCCTACAGTGTAAGTAGGGTACTAAAAAGAAAATTTCAAATTTCTATGGATGTAAACATAAAGTTTTTTACTCAATATTGAGTTTAGTTTAAAACTAGCGCTAAATCACACTGAAGTATCACATTGTTTTACTCAATGTGGTACATAAACACTCTCAGTTGTAAATGACTTCAATTAAATATTATAAGGTTTCTGACCGTTCTAATTTAGAGCCCTTACATATGCAAACGTGAGAACTCCCCCACCCAAACCAACAACAAAAAAGAAAATTCTCATTCGACATTCAAATACTTTTTTTTAATTATCAAATCCATTGTTAAACCTATCAAAAAACCTACTTTTAACAATGCCCTATTTCTATCTTAAAACACGATTTAGATAGGTTTAATAGTTATTTAACAAATGTTTAGCAGTAAAATGTTCTAAAATTAATATATTAGCATTTCGGAAGGAAATTCTCACGTTCGCATACCCAAGAATATTGAACCGTAACTTTTAGCGATTCTACAACAATCTGAGGGTATTTATGTGCAATATTGGGTCGACAACGGGGTAAATATATGAGCGGGTGAAACTAATTCCTAAAGACCAAAAACATTGCAACTGCATGCCCATCTCGTGATTAATTCCCACCGAAAGTCTTCATTTAAAACTCGATATCAATTCTCATTTGAGGCGTTAATTGGAGATAAAAGTGGGGATGGGACCCAGATAAACAATTATCATCTAGTACCTAAGTCGCTATCAAACTCCGGAGCTAAAATTAAGCGGTTTGCTCCGGTTGAATATTTTATAATTTATGTTGGTGAGTTAGATCACCCAAACTCCAGCGGCGCTAACAAAGCTTTGTGCTGCGGTTGAGAGTTGCTTGCAAGTATTAACGTTTGATCCGGTAGTTAGTGAGATTCGAAGGGAAACCGATGAGTTGGGTTTGGGCTTCTCATTGAGAATTGGAGGTTTTGAGGTAATACAAAGTAAACTGCGCGCAAGTCTCGTTGTTATGCAACACATTAATTTGATTTGACCGTTGGAAACAATTTGGGCTCAGTAACTCTCGAGGGAAAATGGTCGGGAGCACGGACGGCAATCGCAGCCCCGGTCACCCCAACGGATCAAACCACGGCCCCCACAGGTCAGCTGAGCTAAAGCTCGATGAGCTCAGGCGAGTCCTCAGCAAATCCGAGGGCAGCCTCTTGAAGATCGTGGGCATTGGGGCCGGAGCTTGGGGCAGCGTCTTCGCTGCCCTGCTCCAGGACGCCTACGGCCAGTTCCGCGACAAAATCCAGATCAGAATCTGGCGAAGGCCCGGGAGGTCTGTCGACAGGTCGACCGCCGAGCACCTCTTCGAGGTGATCAATTCGAGGGAGGACGTGCTGCGCCGGCTGATCAGGAGATGCGCGTACCTGAAGTACGTCGAGGGGAGGTTGGGGGACAGGGTTCTGTACGCTGATGAGATTCTGAGGGACGGGTTCTGCTTGAACATGATCGAGACTCCGCTGTGCCCGATGAAGGTCGTGACGAACTTGCAGGAGGCGGTTTGGGACGCGGATATCGTCGTCAACGGGTTGCCGTCGACGGAGACCAGGGAGGTCTTTGAGGAGATTAGTAGGTATTGGAAGGAGAGGCTCAGCGTGCCGATTATTATCTCTTTGGCGAAGGGGATCGAGGCTGCTCTTGATCCGTTGCCTAGGATTGTGACTCCTACTCAGATGATCCAATGCGCAAGTGAGCTCTCTCTCTCTCTCTCTCTCTCCCCCACTTCTCGTCGTTATCAGAGACATTTAAGTAGTTTAGTCTCAATTCATGATGTTGGATGTATAAGTTTTGTACCAAAACCAAAAGTCATGGTACCCATTTGATTCTCAAGTAGTTTACTGACAACCGTGATTTAATAAAGATCATTCATATATTATGGTTCGTTTGGGAAACCAATCAATAACCCCGTTCCGTTGCTTCACATATGTAGTCAGTATATTAGATCAAAGTTTTGAACCATATAAGTTGACGGTGGAATCCAAAGATTCACGCCTACATCCTTTATTGAGCAATGTATTGACAGTCAAGATTTAATTAGATGATATTTGCTTTGCTAATTCATATGATGATTTCTTGGTAAAACATATATTTTGTAGGCGTTAAATAAGATTGGTCTCTGAGACCATCCATTCTGTGTCAGTTAGATGCATATGGATGGAGTTTCTTTCTTTTAAGCAATTTTAGAGCATGGCTAACAGTTCCGATGTCCAAATGCTCCTGGTTCAAAATTTTAAAACCGTCGACCAAACTATCTTGTAAAAGTGTAACATATAATCAAGTACGTATGTGTTCAGCCAAGATCATTGTTCTCTATTCTCTTAGCACATCCTACATAATCTCTTGTAACATCATGAGTCGTTGCCTCGCAGCTGGAGTCCCAATTGAGAATATACTTTACCTTGGTGGTCCAAACATTGCTTCTGAGATCTATAATAAGGAGTATGCGAATGCTCGAATATGTGGAGCTGAGAAATGGAGGAAACCTCTAGCAAAGTTTTTAAGGCAGCCGCATTTCATTGTGTGGGATAATAGCGATCTGGTTACCCATGAAGTTATGGGCGGTCTGAAGAATGTCTATGCTATTGGTGCCGGTAAGTATTTTTGGTTTCTACTAGACGAGTCATATGGAAACATGAAGAACATCCTTTTGCATGAAAACATCTGAGGTATTTATCAAACACATCATAATGTTCATATGAACATCCTTTGCATACAAACATTCAAGATATACACCACGAAGGATATGGAGACGGGAACCTTTGGGTCTACAGACATTCAAATATTTGGCACAGACCCCTCTTTTCCCTCGAAAGTTTTCATCACTCATGAGGCTTTTACCAATTGCTGAACTTGCACAGATCTCTTACATAATTGCAAAACATGCACTTCATACAGTTACTTGCATGCATACCCATAAATACATGAATAGCTATCACTATCTCTCATATTTTAGATATGGGGAAATATGAGGACAATGGCACATATTATGCTATCCAACCTGGATCAGTCTTTACTATTTGTGATTATTGTCGCTGTTTCCTAAGGACTAACTCTTGTGTTTCTTCAGGAATGGTAGCAGCACTAACCAATGAGAGTGCTACCAGCAAATCGGTATATTTTGCACATAGTACTTCTGAAATGATATTCATAACTCATCTGTTAGCAGAGGAGCCAGAGAGGCTTGCTGGCCCTTTGCTAGCTGATACTTATGTAACCCTATTAAAAGGTCGTAATGCTTGGTACGGGCAAATGCTAGCCAAAGGAGAATTGAGTCCCGCTATGGGAGACAGCATCAAAGGAAAAGGAATGATTCAGGTCTTTCTTCAATCCTAAGATATCCAAATATAAACATAATATATTAGTCTGATAAATTGTGCTGATTATTCCTTTTAACTCTGATTGTCTAAAATTTTGCAGGGTGTATCTGCAGTTGGTGCATTTTATGAGCTCCTTAGTCAACCCAGCTTAAATGTTTTGCATCCCGAAGAAAACAAGCATGTTGCTCCTGTGGAATTGTGCCCTATTCTTAAAACATTATACAAGATATTGATCAAAAGGTTTGATTCCATTCCTCTTATAATTTCCGGTTAAAATCTTTGTATAGTTGGAGAAACATATGAACATGCTCATATGCCGCCAATGCTACTAACTTCCAAGTCCACAAAAGGCATTCCATTCTAACAAATCCTTGTTAAGCATTAATACTTGGGTATAATTAAAGGGTAAATCACAAGAAACCCCTCTATCTACACCTTGTTTCTCAATAAGCCACATCTTACACAAAAAGTTCAGAAAAACCCCTCATTTATCACGATTAATCAAACAGTTAATTTTGCAATGGAGTTTTGTTCTTCAGACGTCTGAATAGACGTTTGCACTTGCGCAGACATTTGGAAGGGCATTTTCCATCTCGAATTCACAAATTTTGTGGTTTTAAAGGAGTAAATGAAGGGAAGAATTAATCATTGTATAAAATTAAAAACTAATCTTTTTATCATTAGCCACGATTTTGCATGCCTTCATTAAGGCGCACTCTGTTGGGCATCAATCAAGGAGGTTTCTTGTAATTTACCCTAAATACTTAAGTGACGGTTGTATTGAATATCTCTCTCTCTCTCTCTCTATATATATATATATATATGTGTGTGTATACACACACACATACTTTTTTGCTAGGGTCCTACAAGAAAATTAAGACTTGCATGATTTCATGTTTCAGGGAGCTTTCCACAGAGGGAATTCTACAAGCATTAAGAGATGAAACTGCAAATGATCCTCGTGATCGTATTGAGATAGCACAAACCCATGCTTTCTACAAACCATCGCTCCTCGGTCAACCCTGAGATGAGAGGGAAAAAAGTCTTTGTCTTGCAAGTTTTGTCATTTATTTGATTTGATTGATTCAATCTTGGTTACATGGTTAAACATACGGCTTGTTGATTGATTCAATCTTGGTTTAGTTAAGAATAGCATCTGTTTGTTGGTGTTCTGCCCTTTGAACTTAATATTTGAAATCCTATGAAACTTGACAATTTATGGGAAATCCATCATTTCTTATGTAAAGGTTTGTGGTTAGAAATGAATAGATGCTTCATTCTGATTTATATAACTTGATATCATTAGTATTGTCCCCAAAGCAACTTGTGCAAGTTCAGAAAAACCCCTACCGTAAAAATTACACACTGGCCACAAGCCTTCATAACGCTTATCAATTTAGGCTTAGTTGCACTTAAATACCCTATATTTTCAAAAAAAAAAGAAACTTTTATACCCTAAATTACAAAACGAAATAAATATATATACCTTGACTTGTAAAAGTAATGTACATATTGTTACCTTTTGTTAGCCAGCAGTGAGAATATTCACAAGAATATTCTCATATGCCGGTCACATGTGTATTTTAAATGCCATCTACTCTTACTGGTTGTATTAATTATAAACTATATCTATCTTTTTCTCCTTTGGGTTAATTTTGATGGAGGCGGGCAGTCTCGTCCTTTAGGGCAAAATTTAATAGCATTTACCAAATTCAGACGACAGACAACTGAAGGTATATACCTGCTCCATTTTTTTAAGTTAGTATTTCTAAAAGTTGCACTTCATATTGTCACGTGGTCCACAAGTCACAAATTTTGGAAATTAGCGTCAATATACTGCAGTTTAATTTTTGATGGATGATAAACCATGAAGTTTGTCAACTAAAAGACATATTTATCTCTCATGATTTTACAAATTCTCAGGTCCATTATTAACTCACGCATTACCAACTCAATTAATCTACACCCATTAACGAACTCTACGTACGTCTCATGAGTTCTTAAATTTTACTCTGTTTTTCTGGAAAGCCCTTAAACTATAACTTTGATCTATTAATTCCCCTAATCTTTATTATTATACCTATTTAGGGAGTCTTTAAATTATAATTTCAATCTGTTAAGTCCTTAAAGTTTTTTTTTTTTCTTATCTTTCATTGTTTTTTAACCCATCATGTTGATTTTAGCTCCCAACACCTAAGATACTATTCCAGCATTAGTAAAAAATAAGAATATTGTCAAAAGCATCAATGACAAATAGGTGAGATAACTAAAATCTTTTTATTGTACTGGGGGATGTAAATATGATACTTCAGATCAGTGATAAATCAAAGATGGTTTAAAACCAAGAGGAGGGATTAGTGAATTTTTTTGTTAAATTTTAGAAAACACTCTTAACTATGAATGCTTATCAGATAACTCATCATAACTTTAAAAATATAAGAAAAAACCCTTAAGTTTAGAGGTTATCAGAAAATATCTGAAAAGCATGTACTACAGTTTTCATTAGCAAAATTATCTCCCTACATAATTTTATCTAGTCATGTGATAATTGCAGTACACTCTGTTAGTTGGTTTCCTAATAAAATCTTAAGAGGGTTTTTGATAACCCTAAACTTAAGGGGGGTTTTCTTATTTTTGAAATTATTAGAGGTTATCTGATAATTGTCAAAAGTTAAGGGTGGTTTCTAATTTTTGGGCAAAAATTTTCCATTGATTAATTTATAAATCTATTTAGTTGTATCGAGTTATATCTTGCTAAAAGATTGGAAAATGGCAATCCTCTTCCTTCCGGGGAAAAAAAAGAAAAAAAAAAGCGGTTTGTTAATGTTAGTCCCAACATCTCGATTATTCTGATATATTAGTCACCCAAATTCTACTAGGATCTTTTTGGCAAACCACTTCAAACTGGGTCAGCCGTGTTTTATTTTTTTTAACCAGGCTAGAATTGAAGTGGGTATGAGGTGGTTCAATTCTACCCTGGTCAAGAGGCTCTACAATGAACTAAAAAATTTGGGCCAACTCTAGCCTAACTCTTCTAGACACAAAACTCTATTAAAACTAGACCAGGTTTAATCCTGGCCCAGTATCAGTAGTTTGGCAAAATTTTAAAATGGGGTCAGATATGGTCCTAGCTCCATTTTGAGAAGAATTGTACCTGGGTAGAGCATGGTTAACATTGGCCCAGTTCTCTTAAGGTCGAAATTGGCCCTTAAATTTTGTTTTAGTCCACCTTCTCCTGAAATAAAGGAAAACCAGTTTAGTTTAGAACTGGGTCAGGATCAGTTTTGGCCAAGTTTCAGGGTATTTGCCAAAGACAACCTTGAAGTTAGTCCCATTACCCATTCTGTTTATAAAGTTCAAACCATGGTTAAATAGTAAGCTATGTTGGGTAATTACAAAAATTATCATCAGGCCTCAGCCGCTATCTCCTACCCCTTCTTTCATTTCCGGGCAAAATTTGAAAACAGGTCCTTTTGCAAAAAAATTCTCCAAAAAAGACCCGTTTTGAAAATATTCGCAAAAAACAACCTAGTTTCAGACCTGCGTCTGAAACTAGATCGTTTTTTACGAAAAAAGTTTCCAAACTTCACGGGAGTTAGACTCCCGTGAAGTTTTTTACATAACAAAACAAAACTTCACGGGAGTTGAACTCCTGTGAAGTTTGGGAGTTTTTTTCCCAAAAACCGACCCAGTTTCAACCCTAAGGCTGAAACTATGTCGTTTTTTAAAAATAAAGTGAAAACGGGTCTTTTTTTGGGAATATTTTTGTAAAGGGGTCTGTTTTCAAAATTTGTCCTTCATTTCCCGCCTATTGATCGCTCGCACTTGCACCCAAAAAAAAATGTTGTCCGTGGTTAGGGTTTTGCTGAATCTCGCCCCAATTTGTGCTGCGCTGGAGTATTTTGCTCTAAGATCAAACGGATTTGTGAAGGTAAGCTTGTTGATTTTGTTAGGGCTTAAAATTTGATATAGATAATTTGGTTTATAGTTTGTATTTCTCCCTATTCTTCTCTCTATTTAAGTGTTTTTACGTTTTGATTTGGGCATTTTACAACTGTCCCCAATTTGTGGCCTTATACTACCCTAATCTGGATTGCATATTATGATTTAGAATTGTTTTTTTTTTCTTTTTTCCCCCTTAATGTTTGCTTGTTTAACACTGTTCTTAATCATAAATATCGGTTTTTTTTTTCTTTTTATGGTTTCTCGCTGATTTTAGAGATGAAACATTGTGTTTGCGTTAAAAGAATCATTTGAACAGTTAGAACGAATGGAATCTTCTATGCAATTCCTGAAACAAATATTAGAAAGTTTTGGTTCAATTCGAACAATTGGAATCTTCATGGGGGGTGTTAAAGAATAATTTGAACAAGGAAAAGGGTTGAAATGTTTTTAACCATAGAGTCTGTGACTAGTGTAAATTGGATGGCTTCAATGTCCTCTAGAAGAAGAAATCCACCAAAGAGAAAATGCAAATCTAGCGAAGAAGTCAACCCATTTTGATTTAAATGAGTAGTCAAGTGGTGATGAAAATTTTGGTGCAAGATATGATAGGTTTGTTAATCTATGCGAGAATTTTGCTCGAGAACTAGAAGACAGGGGCTCTTTTTCCCGAACTATGATACCCGATAGTTTACACATTTTCAAACTTTGCTACCCCAAGGTCTTATTTTTGACACTTTGATACCCCAAATTTTCGGGTATCAATGTTATAATTTGTGTGAACTTTGGGTATCATAGTGTTAAAAAGAAACTTTGGGTTATCAAGGTCAAACATTGTGTAAACTCTAGGGTAGCAAAGTGAAAATAACCCATAATTTATTGTGTTCTTCACATTGTTCTTCTTATCATCATCCACAATATAGTTGTCATCAACCCATCTAAACAAAATTTCACAACAGAAAGCTGAACTCATATAAATACAATCTAACACTGATCAAGTAGGAAATATTACATCGCATTACACGATTACAAAGAAAATGCTACAAAAGCATCAAACGAAGCAGACCACAGTTACAAAAATTTAACCAAAATAAACGAACCCTAAAACAAAAAATGATAGTCTTCATCAACATCATAATCTTATCCATTTTCTTTGACAACAAGTTCTCTTCTTTAAACATCTTCATCAAAAGATTCCTATTGTCATCAACCCATGCAAATTAGTCACATCACTTATATGAAGAATTTGTGTATTGTGGGCACCCAAAAAAATTTTAGCCCTTTGTTCTCACCTTGATTGTACATCCTAGATTCCTAATCCTGCATTGCAGACCATAGTGACAATTTCTATTAGCTCTAGAACTTTTATTAACAGATAAATTGAATTAGAAATCATGATGAGAGGTGTTAAACTAGTTCACAGGTGAGAATATATGATGCAGATAGCATCTTAAGATGGTTTTTTGGGTTTTTGTAGCTTTCATGGTGGAACTAGTCGTTGCTAAATGGGTTAGGAGAAGGGAGTTATTGTTGGGGAAGATGACCGGTGAGGTATACACGTGGAAACAACTAAAAAATCATTGGGGTGCCATGAGGTCTGATCGGACCTTGTTCGAGCAACTAATGGAAAGGGGAGTCGGGGTGAGGGTGGGGTGCTACTAGAAACACAATTGCGGCAACTGACGAGTGGTGGGAAAACAAAATCAAGGTAATGTTTTTAACTTGTATTACTTTAATTACTAATCTTATCGACGTTAAGATAAACTGAAGCTCGTGACTTTTTTTTTAATTGTTTTCTAGGAAAATGAAAAGTTGAAGAAGTTTGAAAAATATACTGCAATAGAGCATGAAGAGTTTGAAAAATACGATAACGAGGAGCCTGTGCAGCGTAACGAGGAGATCCCTACGGCTGAGGGTAGTGGTGACACGGATGAGGTGCAACTTCCTACTAACAATGGTGTCATTCTTCTTCCGTCTTCGCATACAAAGAGAAGTTTTAGTAGTGGGATGAGAAGTAGCAGTGGGAAAAAGAAGGAAGGTTTCGAGTGCAACTTCATTGAAAGAGGACATTCAAGCTCTCGTGCAGCTTCTTGTTTCAAGCGGAAGCACCAATACATCATCTACTCGGTCCGCGTCAAGCGTTAGAGAATGTTTGGAAAAACTTCAAAATCTTCCTGGAATGATCATTGGCAGTGAGGTGTGGCATTTTGCTTGCTTCTCATTTTGTAAGAAGGCAGCTAGAGAGGTGTCCTTGATGCAACCCACTGATGAGCTTAGGTATTCTTGGTTGGAGTTCAGTTATGCCAACTGGAAAAAGAATTAGAGGCGCCATCTCATGGTTGACGTGTCCATAATATAGCAGCTGAACCTTGAGAAATTTTCAAAACAGACTTGGCATAAGTTTTAATTTTCAAAATCGGCTCATTTTTTTTTTTACAAAAATTGATCTATTTTTTGCCACGTCAGCTTAATCCCATTCCTAAACAGTCGTGATTGGCAACCCCGACTAATTAGGAAATGAGATTAAGTTAACATGGCAAAAAATGAGTTGATTTTTGTATAAAAAAAGTGAGCCGATTTTGAAAATTCAAACTTGGTTTGAGTCTGTTTTGAAAATTTTATTCTGCTTCGTTATGGCTTTTCCATGAGTACCAGTTCGTTTGCAGTGTTGTAATAATGGTGGGGGGAAATCATGCAGAAAGGTTTCTCGTCATCATATTCATAACCATAACGTTACAACCAACTTATATCAAACCTATGATGCATTATTCCAACGGAAGTTACCATGCGAGGCAAACAGTCTAGTTGTTTATATCATTGATTATTTATCAATAAACTGTATAAGTTAGATAAAGATTCAAACTTTCCCCTTGTATAACCCAAGAAAAAGAGTTGAAATTTCTCACTTAACATCCATTCAATAAGACAGTGTTTGCCTCTCAAGGATATGATACGCCTCTCCTAAATCAAAAGTCTAATAATAACAGTTGGCACCCTTTTTTCCAGAATAAATGACCCCTCTGAATTTGCACAGCCGAAGGGTCCTCCAACTTGCCAGAACGCATAACAGGCTATGAATACTGATAACCTGAAGATGAACATCAGTTCTGTCATAAAAACAATAGTTATCTAAATAACCCCCAAAAAATAGTGAAATTACACACTAGCCGCCGCCCCCAAGAAACTTATCAAATCTAATCACAAGCACAGTTTCAGATCCCGTGTCCTCGATCTCTACTGTAATTAGATCAAAATTAAATCAATCACCACAGCTTCAGATGACGCATGTTCAATCTCTACTAGATGCAACAAGTATTTAGTGTCCCATTCTCTCCTCCCGCTTCCTTGGAGCGCAGGTTATGATCTCATCCACCCTCAGTATCATTTCAGCTGCCTCAGTAGCAGACAGTAGTACGGCTTGCTTAACTTTGAATGATTCAGAGATCCCAAGCTTCTCCATATCTCCTACCTGTATTATCACAGAGTGTCTAAACAAATTTTGAGGGGAAAAAAAGGAAAAAACGCATAAATTTCCCAAGCACCTCTGAACTCTATCAATCCTAGAAAACCCCCTGAACTTGCTTCACTAAAATATCACAACCAACAGCAGTTGCTTTATGTGATCACGTGTTCCATATGTAACTTTTGGATGATTTTAGTTCTATGTATTAAAAAATATAACTTCATTTTACTCCACCTGCTAACACCATTCAAGAATTCCCGATATTGCAGTGTTTATTATAATTTTTGAAATTTAGGGAGATTTTTTATGATATATAAAGTTCAGGGGGTTTTGCACAAACTTCAGGAAATTTGAGGGGGGAAAAGCAAAAACAAGAACAAATGGTGTTTGTGCTTACACTGCCAGTTATAACATCAATCCCAGCATTACTGCCCTCTTTGTGATGTTCAGCACGAAGCTGCGAGATCAACTCTGCACTGTCTAAACCAGCATTGTCAGCTATAATAGTTGGAATTGCTTGTAATGCCCTCGAGAAAGCTTCGATAGCATGGGATTTTTTTCCAGGAGTTTTGCGAGCAAGTTCATCTACATCTTTTGCCATCACCATCTCAGGCCACCCACCACCGAGTAAAACCCTTGTAGGGATCTTTCAGCTTCATCAAGAACGTGGTGACTGTAGCAGATATAAGAGAAATATATGAAATTGTAGAAATGTCAGGTTTTTTTTACTTTACAGAACTCGTATTTACCTTCATAACTCTGAAGGATGAGATTTAATGAAACATTAAGATTTCTGCGCTTAGATGTCACCAAGAAAACTAAATATTTTGGAGTAGATTATACTAGGAAAAAATTAAGTCCCTTGGAGACTCAAAACTTATGTTTTGTTCAGACCAAAAAGAGGAAAAGAAGAAATGTATGTACGTGCATATGTATAAGTACATATTCACTACCATCAGAATAGCACCTTGTGCAACTATTGGCCACGATTTTGAATCATTCTTCATGAACTTTTGAAATATAAAGCTTCTAGGTGAAAGCAATATTTGAAACTAAGCCCCAGTGGAGTTGTTTTATTTAAAATATGAATCTGAGCTCATGGTTCACAACTTGTTCGTGCATATAATTCAAAGGATTTGGAAGCCTGGTCTAAGTATTTGTGAAACTGTAAAACCTTTTGCTTTGTGTTCTTAGGTCCAAACACGTTATCTCCTTTCGGTATTCATATTCTTTCCTTTATGAGGGGAAAAAATATATTCTTTTTTCTCAAAAGAAACAAAAAAGGTTCATAATCCCTATATTGAGGCAAAGAATTGAAAATGTGACGCTATACTTTCTGTAGAAAAAAAAAACCATTTATCGATTCGCATGTCTATTCATACTTCTCCCTTATTAACTTGTGAACTTTGGAAGAGAAGCAACAAATCAAGAGTTGAAAGCACACCAGTAATGTCAAATCCAAGGGTACATGCTTGAATGCAAAAGAACAGCTTATACATAAAGGCATATCTATAAGAAATAAAGTTGAGCAGACTATTTGACCAGGCATAAAAAAACTAACCACAAATATTAGGTATTAAGAGAGCCAATTATAAATTTATAACCAAGCTCGATGACAAGTTCTTCATAAGTGGAGAGGACTGACATATGACAGTTTAGATAGGCAAAGGGTTTAATTTATTTTAGAATTGAACCAATTTAAACATATTATAGTAGAATTCACCAGTAATTCTAGTTGGATCGGGAGTTAAAAAATCCTTCGTAGAGTGGGATCCCTCATTTTGGTGTCTATATAGCCAAAATCAATGCTCATGATAATACTGGATTCATCATCCTTCTACTAATAATATTCTCGTTATCAGATTGTGAATTCAGTGTTTACTAGAGGATACTAGTGCATCAGGTGAATTTTTCTTCCACTTTAACTATTCAACTTTTTAGTTGAGATTATGGCTAAAGTCTTTGTTTTTTCACTTATCACTGCGAAGCAAGGATATCATAGTGGCGTGTCCAAACAAAAGAGAAAAGGAGAGAGTACTAGCACAACCTCATGCAATCTTATCAACTTATAAAAGTAAATTAGCTAAACATGTTATCTTTTAACTAACCAGGTGTCCAAAACCAGGTAACTAAAAAAAATATAAGGGCACTTGAACTATGGCATAAGATTTACAGAGAAAAATGGGAAAGAAATAAACGGAATGATCAGAAAACTATCTGACCATGGGATTTTACTAAGAAGCTTAGGTTCATACTGAGATATATAGCAAGCATACCTTGCACCTCTTAGCACTATTGTGCATGCCTGACCCATTTCAACCCCAGAGAAATGGATCAACTTGTCCTCGCCAATCATGATTTCCTCAATAAGCTTGCAATGACCAAGCTTAACAGAGTCGGGGTTATCAAAGGTAGATGCAATTTCACCACCAGTAACCAGAGCTAGCCTCTCAATCCCATCAAAATCAGCATGTTCAATAGCAAGTATTCCTGCATCAGCAAAAAGTTCCTCTGGAAAGTTATATATCAATTGTCGGTTGACGAAGCAATTAATCCCATGACCAATGATTTTCTGCACTTTTTCTTTCATCTTTTCCTTTTCAGCTCCCTCAATCTGTGCTACTTTAGTCATTGAATCAACACGAACTCTGGCACCATATATCTTAACTTTGTCAGTGTCCATAGCTGTGTTTGCAACCAAAATCTTAGCATTCTCAATGCGTTTAGGCTGTCCAAGGCCAATTTTCTTATCAAGAATAAACCTGCACGATAAAGCATTAACAATCTTAGTTTTAAGTTCAACAAAAAATCATCTAAACATGTAAACCTCCACATGAAAAACTATTTACAAGTTTCTCATATATAAAGAAGAAGTAGCATTTGTTCAAATAGAGGAACAAATAAAAAAGAAAAAAAAGTTAATAACTCAAATAGAAGATCGTTTTAATAAAACAATCTATAGTAACGTCCTTAATGCTTTTTGAGATACAAAATAACATATTGTTTCTCTACCTCATGAATATAACTTCAGAGAAAATGACATTCCTACCAAATCTAGGTCATGCCAAATGAATCAAGAATATCTTGATCTTTGTAAAAAAGAAATAACTTCATTATTTCAGAAAAAACTTATAAGGAAATCATATTCTCCTTGGAGCTGCACAGCTTTCTATGTTAATAATCATGCTGAACAAGAGAGAGGAATCCCTCGTCTTGTTATCAATTACAAACCTTTAAACATTGTTTTAAAGTGGATTAGGTATCATATTCCAAACAAAAGAAATTTATTAAATCGCATTAACAATGCAAAGATCTTTTCTAAAATTGATCTTAAGTCAAGACATTACCAAATACAAATAGAAGAAATGATCATTATAAAACAGCATTTGTTGTTCCATTTAGACACTTTGAATGGAATATAATGTCATTTGGGCTAAAAAATGCCCCTTCAGAATTTCAGAACATTATGAATGAAATTCTCTCATTCCCCACACTGATTTCATCTTGTCATACATAGATGATATTTTGATATTTTCTTAGACATTTAATCAGCATGTTAAACATTTAGAAATATTTCGTAATTTAGCAATATAAAATGGGTTAGCTATATCAGCCCCAAAAATAAAATTATTCCAGACTCAAATTAGATTCTTCGGTCATAATATTTACAAAGGAACTATAATTCTTATTGAACGAAGCATTGAATTTGCTTCAAAGTTTCCAAACATAATCACTGACACCAAAAAATTATAAATGTTTCTTGGTGCATTGAATTATGTAGTAGATTATTATCATAATCTTGCACAAGACACTGCTATTTTATATAGTAGATTAAGAAAGAATGTTTCCCCTTGGACAGATCAACACACTGTTGTCCGAAAAATTAAATTAAATGTTAAAAGACTATCCTGTGCACATCTAGCTAATACACAGTGGTTTAAAATTGTTGAGACTGATGCGTCAAACATTGGTTATGGAGGTATCCTCAAACAAATTAATCACATTACTAACAAAGAGCAACTAGTTAGATTTACCTCTGGTAAATGGGATCCAGCCCAATTTAATTACTTCACAATCAAAAAGGAGATGCTAGCTATTGTAAAATGCTTTTACAAATTTCAAGATGATATTTTCCATCAACAATTTCTATAAAAAATAGATTACAGTTCTGTTAAGACAGTCTTAGAAAAAGATGTCAAAAATCTTGTTTCTAAACAGATCTTTGCCAGATGGCAAGCCGAGTTGGCAATGTATCAATTTAAAATTGATTATATACGTGGACAAGATAATCATTTACCTAATTTTCTAACACGTGAATTCTTGCAGGGTACCCATGCGCCGCAATAACTCCTCCCAAAGGGGAAGGGGAAGGAGTGGAGATAACAAAAATGGGAGGAATTATACTCCGACTCACCCAAACTCATGGAGAACTATCTCTAAGAAGGGAAATACTAGTGTCCCTTCATCATCATCTTCTAGGGGGATAGAAGATCTAATGGCAAAAGAGAATATATCTGAATCATTTTCTGCCATAATCAAGAAAGATGTAGAGTGGTATACTAAAACCACCTCTAACACTGTCCTTCATATAGAACAAGAGAACATTCCTCTTATAAAAGATGTCGACAAACTAAGACAAAAATACTTAGATTTGACATACTACCCTACATTGTCTTTTAAACCTAGAGCATGGATGAAGACAATACTCATCCAGAGAGGTATGGAAATCACACATTTTTGGAGTAATAAAAATCATACCGTCCCTCCAAACTTCAGCAAATGTGTTATCAAAAAAGTAATACTTCACAGAGATTGGGCAATGAGTACTAATCAGGAATTTCCCCCGGTTAAAACTCCAAATAAAGAAATTTATAATTTCAATTATTGGGATTACCAATCAGCCTTTTATCAGCTATTTCTATACCAAAATCCCAAAAACAAACATACATGACTAATTAAGCTATGTCCAGAGACCATTTATAAAGGCCTACCCACCTGGTTCTATAATTGGTGGTCGAAATATGGGGCAGACCTTAATATAGTACCCAAACCATATCAAAATTATATACTCCTTGGGTTGACTCTCACCCAGTCATCCAAAAGATGGACGAGAATCAAATTCTCGAATGTTTGTGTTCAGCATATTTCTTCGCTGAGGCAGAAATCCCATAGATCTGGAATTGGTCATTAGAAGCTACATGAGATTAACTTCATCTACCATCTATTTAAAGAAAACATCATAGCAAATGGTGGACGAGTGTCAATGTCCAAGACAAAGTGAAGCAGATAGAAATCATTAAAAGGAATAATAAAATCCTTAATAATACTTCAACCCAGGAAATTCAAAATGAAAATCTTATGGTTAAACTAGCAAAAACAATGAAAAGGAAATATCCTCAAGCTACAGAAGCTGAAATTCAGCAAAAATATCTTGAGCATATGAAGAAATAATTCTTCGAAGTATTTGACAATAGTGATACAATGTCAATAAAATCCGCAAATAGTACTCTAGGAATAGATGTATCCTTACTGGATGATGCTCAGGATCCTTATAAGGAAAAAGCAGAAGAAATGTGAGAAGCAGCTATGGGAGTTCCCACAAATGTAAAAGATAAAGATATTGAATAGTTGTAAACTATCACTTACCGACAGTCATACCGACTTCTTTAAAGTTATAAATTTATTACTCTAACAAGTTATATTTTACTCTTCAATTATATTGATTAGGAAAGGCTAAGTTGTCACCTAAAAGATAAGATTAAAAAAAAAGAGATTCGGTGCGCGATGAGGCCCACAATGTACCCGACACCTTATGATTTACTTTTAGCTGAGACTCGGGGAGCCGCTCTTAGTGCCAAGTGACACATGCAATGACGAAAGATTCCACCGATAAAAAGATGCCAAGAAATAATGCGCATCAAAACAAAAGTGTCATCAATAATGTGTTCACTTTAGATCTTCTCCAACCAGCTGTCTAAAGGCAATCAACAAAAAAGATACATTTCTCAACTATAAATAAGGCAGAAGAATTTTTAGTTCAGTGTGCTTACTTTCAATCATAGATTTTTCAAAGTTTAGGGAAAAGAGCTTCACTCTCTACATAATACTTTATCTTCTTTTCTTTCTTCCTCTTCCTCTTTGTAAAGGTTAGCCGACCTAAGGCTTTGTAAAAAATTAGTTGATGAAATAAACTGGAGCAACCAGAAGTTCTAATAGAACTTGCAGACTTCAAGCTGTAAACTCTCTATCTTTTTACCTTGTCTTTACTAATTTAAGTATTGTTTAAATTGGTATCAGAGCCATGATTGGCTAATTTTTTTTCTTACGGAGATAGTTATGTATATCTGATAAGTAGGAATTTATGATTGAAATATGTTTTTTCTCTTTCTTGTTGATAATATAAAAGGAATGATAGTGGGACGTCACCCAAGTCGCGTAGTATAATGTTTTCGTTTGAAACCGTGAAGGCGTGTAGGGTAGTGTAAATCGTTGACAGACGTGCTACTATGAGTTTTGTTTTATCTTTTAAAAAAGAAAATTTTCATTTATAAATCCTTACTTAATAGACTTTACATAATTTAATCCGTAAGAAACCCCTTATGGCAGAATTAATCTCTACCTCATCTTCCAACATAGCTCGTAATACGAGTAAAAAAGTTAAGAATGCTCAGTTGACAGAATATCCATCTGAGCTTGAATCACTTAATAAGTGGTCCATCCCAGATGTCTCTAATAAAGACATCTATAAAATTGGGATATTTGATTATAAGTCTTTGATAGCAATCAAAATTCTAGAAAGAACCACAACAGTAGATCAGAACGAGCAAACTATTAAATTACTTAGTTCTGAAGATATTGAACCTTATATGGAACGATATAAATATATCCATATTGAATTAATTCAAGTAGCATTTAGACCATTGGCATTACAAGGACTTGATGCCTCGTTACTATCCTGTTTACGTGATGCAATATGTCTAAATTGGACACAATCTTTAATGGGCATCATGAAAACTAGTCTATGTAACGGACCAATATACTTTAATGTAAAATTGGACACAATCTTTAATGGGCATCATGAAAACTAGTCTATGTAACGGACCAATATACTTTAATGTATACCCAAATCTGAGTTTATCTCTAACACATGAAAACTAGTCTATGTAACGGACCAATATACTTTAATGTATACCCAAATCTGAGTTTATCTCTAACAGATCCTAGTATCTTAGAAGCTATGAGCCTTAACATTAAGACTCATGGATATGAATTTTTACCTGGATCAGAAACAATTACGATTATATACCGCATCCATTATAAAGCTTTAAGTACGTTAGCACCTAAAGCTAAAGTGCATACAAAGCCTGAAAAGACAGTCTTAGTAGAGACTAATTTACTTTCGTCCTATATCGTTGTAAACAGACAAATTAAATGGAACGAAGTAAACTTTCATGATAGTTGGGTTCTACCTTACGCTATTCAGCCTCAGTCAATAATAAATCAAGAAATTGATCAAATCATTCAAACTGCTGATGGTGAAGTTGAAGTAGTCTTCAACCCTTCAAAGACAATAAATTGTCGTATGTTACAACTTCATCTAGAAGATCTATTTCTAGATCTGATTCTTTAAGAATCAACGAGGTTAGAGGAAATTAATATATCTCAAAACAATACACCTCATCCGATATATAAAGAGAAATAAAAGCTTTCTCCCACAAGCTCTGAAATGAGCTTCCAAATGTAAAAATTGTTTTACGGATTTTACACCCAACAGTGAATTACGAGAATTTCTTAATATAGAATTCCAATGTAAAAGTCATGAATCATTCAGAGAATGGTTCTTTAAAAGTTTCTCTGATAGAGAACAACAAATCTTTAAATCAAGTTATTATGAAACACTTGATAAAAATCAGAAAATAGAATTCTTTGTTCCTTGGTTCTAAATTTTTATATTCGAAAGGAAGAAAAGAGAATTTGAGTACTTGAAGAACATTATAAACAATGAAAATCAAGTACTTGTGCATCAATCAAATCTCTTTATCCTCCAACGGAACCACTAAGACTTACTGGAGTTTCAACATCAACTCTAGAAGCAACAGCTTTTATGAAGCCCACTGAATCTAGTGATGAAACTTTAAAAGAGCTTAATAAGCTAATAAAACAGAGTAATTACTCAAACATACATCTTCAAGTAGTCGGCCAACACCTTACTCGAATCGAAGATGTAGTTGATAGACTTGTTCAAAAATTGAATACTAGCATTCCCTCTCTAATAAGGTCAGAGGGTGTTAGGGCTCCTGTTATACATACAGAAAAAGCCACAATTAAGCCACCCCTAGATATATCTGGGTTTAATACCAGTGAAAAAGTAACTTTAGAAGTTATTGAAGCTTTATCAAAAAAGCTCAGTACTTCTAAATTACTTACACTTGATGGTGAGCAATCTACTTCGTGAGTTATTCATACTGACACTGAAATATCTGACGATGATAATAGTTTAGTTAAACAAGATCAGGTATTGGAAGTAGAAAATCAATTCTCTACTATGAATAAAATCACAACATGCCCTAAACAATTAGTGTTACTATTATAAGAGACCTACTCCTATAGATGTATTATTCGAGGAGAATGATACATACATACAAGCTGATTAAAACGACAGAAATATTTATGAATGGAATATTGACGGTTTATCCGACAATCAAATATATTCCACAATGCATCACATATTGATGTATTCCACTATCTGTAATTCTGATAAGCTTATAGCTTCCTACATTACCATTTCTGCCTACATAACTATCTCCGTAAGAAAAAACTTAGCCATTCATGGCTCTGGTACCAATTTTAAAACAAAATATAATAAGTAAAAAGATATAAGACTTACAGTTTGAAGCCTGCAAGTTCTACAAGAACTTCCGGTTGCTCCAGTTTATTTCATTAACTTCTTTTCTACAAAGCTTTAGATCGGTTAACCTTTACAAAGAGGAAGAGAGAGAAAGTAAAGAAAACTAAATATCAGGTAGAGAGTGAAGTTTTATTCCTTTTACTTAAAATTCTAAGATTAAAAGTAAACACGCTGAACTAAAAATTCTTCTGCCTTATTTATAACTGAGAAGAGAACTTTTTTTATTGATTGCCTTTAGACAGCTGGTTGGAGAAGATCTAAAGTGAACACATTATTGATGACACTTTTGTTCTGATGCGCATTATTTCTTAGCATCTTTTTATCGGTGGAATCTTTCGTCATTGCATGTGTCACTTGGCACTAAGAGCGGCTCCCCGAGACTCATCTCAAAGTAAAGGACAAGATGTCGGGTACCTGTGGACCCCATCGCGCACCGAATCTCTTTTCTTTAATCTTATCTCTTAGGTGGCAGCTTGGCATTTCCTAATCAATATAATTGATGAGTAAAGTATAACTTGTTAGAGTAATAAAGTTATAACTTTAAAGAAGTCGGTATGACTATCGGTAAGTGATAGTTCATAATTATTCAATGTCTTTATCTTTTACATCTGTGGGAATACCCATGGTGCTTCCCACATTTCTTCTGCTATTTTCTCATAAGGATCCTGAGCATCCGGTAAGGATACATCTATCCCTAGAGTACTATTTGTGAATTTTGTTGACATAATACCACTATTGTCAAATACTTCGAAGAATTGTTTCTTCATATGCTCAAGGCATTTTTGCTGAATTTCAGCTTCTGCAGCTTGAGGATATTTCTTTTTCATTGTTTTTGCTAGTTTAACCATAGGATTGAATTTTCCTGAGTTAAAGTATTATAAAGGATTTAATTATTCCTTTTAATGATTTCTTCTATCTGCTTCACTTTGTCTTGGACATTGATACTAGTCCACCATCTGCTATGATATTTTCTTTGAAGAGATGGTAGATGAAGTTAATCTCGTGTAGCTTCTAAGGACCAATTCCAGATCCATGGGATTTTTGCCTCGGCGAAGAAATATGCTGAACACAGACCTTCGAGAATTTGATTCTCGTCCATCTTTTGGATGACCGGGTGAGAGTCAACAAGGAGTATATAATTTTGATATGGTTCGGGTACTATATTAAAGTTTGCCTCATATTTAGACCACCAATTATAGAACCAGATGGGTAGGTCTTTATAAATGGTCTCTTGACATAGTTTAATTAGTCATGTATGTTTGTTCTTAGGATTTTGGTATAGGAACAGTTGATAAAATGCTGATTGGTAATCCCAATAATTAAAATTATAAATTTCTTTGTTTGGAGTTTTAACCAGGGGAAATTCCTGATTAGTACTCATTGTCAATCTCTATGAAGTATTACTTCTTTGATAACACATTTGCTGAAGTTTGGAGGGACGGTATGATTTTCATTACTCCAAAAATGTGTGATTTTCATACCTCTCTAGATGAGTATTGTCTTCATTCATGCTCTAGGTTTAAGAGACAATGTAGGGTAGTATGTCGAATCTAAGTATTTTTGTCTTAGTTTGTCGACAATCTTTCATAAGAGGAATTTCATCTTGTTCTATATGAAGAACAGTGTCAGAGGTGGTTTTAGTATACTACTCTACATCTTTCTTGACTATGGCAGAGAATATATATATACATCTACATATGTATTTATGTTTGTATACATATATATGTATACATACATATATATGTATATATATATATATATATATATATATATATATATATATACACACACACACATATATATATATATATATATATATATATATATATATATATATATATATATATATATATATATATATATATATATATATATATATATATATATATATATATATATATATATATATATATATATATATATATATCTCTCTCTCTCTCTCTATATATATATATATATATATATATATATATGTATATATATATATATATATATATACATACATATATATGTATATGTATATATATACATATATATGTATGTATATATGTGCATGTATAAATACATATATATGTATCTATATACATATGTATGTATATACAATATACACACATATGTATATGTGTATATATATGTATGTCGTCAACTCGGGGTTATTTATAACCATATCTACTTGAAATATTTTCACTTTCACAATATTATAAATAGAAAAACAATGGAAATTACGGCTTATTCGACTACATATAAGGTGGTACACTGTCTCACCTAGTTTCTTCACTTTTTTAAATGCTCATCTTAACTTTTGGAATAGGTGTGGAGATCCATTACGGAAAAAAGGTTTAAATTATGCTATTATCTCCTAAGCACTCCTTAGAAACAAGAATATAAGTGGGAAAAATAAAACATAAGATAACAATTAACTTATCTTCAGAATAGCTTGTAGAGAGCCATTTCAAAAGAATTTAAACTGTGCTACTGTTATATACTCGTGTTCCTTCTTTCAAAGAACAAGAAGATAGATAAACAGAATATAATATGCCGATGTCATCAAGAACACAGCCAATTATATTCTCCATCTAGCAAACTTCCATATAAAACAATCTTTTCAACAAGCAATCCCCTTTGGTTCTTATTACCTTACAATTCCTTCGACTCTTCCAATACTTGCCACAGAAACTTAAATGCTATATCGCCACATAATCATGCTTTTGACTTCTGACAGAATCTGCTATGCAGAATTGTTTTTTTTTTCTTTTCAAAACTTGACTCAGAGAAGTTTAAGAACATCAAGATTATAGTTTATCTTATCAAAAACACCATACAAAAAGCACATGCCATAGTTTTCAGGTGAACTATTCAACAGATGTTACAGATCAGATATCATAGTTACAGTTGCAGAAAAAGAGACCTAAGCAAATAGAGCAATATAGAAGACATTAGCCTGGAGCAATCATACTTGTGAAGAGTGACGCCATCTGAACAAAACCTCACAATAGTCAATGAAGAGCCAATAAAAAAGCGTGTTGACTCAGATGCAAAGACTTGCAAGGAATGACAAAATAGCACCAAGTGTAGCAATCAAAGCTTAAATAGTTGCAAGGAATGACAAAACACCACCAAGTGTAGCAATTAAGGCTTCTACCGGAAAAAATAAGATAAAGAGGAGCAGATTCACTCTTGTAAACTTCAACAATAAAACATTACATTAGATGGTATTAGCAAGCAACTTGCAAACAGATGACATCAAGTGTGACCGAGAAAAATATCAGAAGTTAGTACTAAAGATAATGAAAGTAAATAGACATGCATACAGATATGCCAAAATTTAGAAAGTTCGTCAAGTGTAAACAGGTATTCACGGATTGGTCATGTTGATTAAGTGTGTCAAGTGTGTGATGCCGATCAGATCATAATTGTAATATATATACAAAATTTAAAAAAAAAACTGTAAATTCATACCCTTCATCTAAAAATGAGTCCTTCAGTGAACCTCCAGCCTTCTTTATTATTTGGATTGACTCCAAATTTGTACTACCCTGCCATCGAAACAAGGATACATATAATTTAAACAGCATTATATAAAAAATGATTAGAAAACAAAACCAGTTTAATTATATTTTAACAAATGAAACAGTTGAAGTCTGTAACTGGAATCATTACTGTGGTACTACCGTACAAGCAACAGAAAGTGCTGATAATATTGATAGCAGTGATGGAAGAAATAAATGATTAAGATGAATGCAGCTATGATGACAGGATTATTCGCACCACGGTGAAGTTGTAAGATAGAACATATGATGGTGGCCAACAGTGTGAACATAGGTTTACGGGAGCCTGGTGGAAGCAGCAGTAAGAATGTTCCTAATGTCGGCACAAAAAAAAGCATTATTGTGCAGAATCTGGAGTCAAGCTGGATGTGGCATATACAGGATGGCAGGCCAGCATGCCTAGAATCACCTAGGCTTCCTGTTTAAGTATACCCTCTTTGGTAGATTACCATTCTGAAGACCACTGCAACTCCTTCTCAAATAGACATGTCTATTATTTTCTCAAAAAATCCATAACTTGAAGTGAACAAGTGAACATCTGAATATGGTCTTATGGAAATGAAGCATCAACCAGTTTCTTCCTTTTCAAAATTTAAGAAACAATCTAGTTAGTTTGAACTAACGCAAAACACATGTAAAATATTATGGAAAATTCAAAAGATGATAAAGTATAATGCTAAACATTTCCTTCATTTGTAATGTTATCACCAAAGCAAATTTATATAAGACAGGAAACCTCGCTTTTCAAGAGCAAGAAGTTTGCAAAAGCTAGCAACTTAGACATGAATTGCCATTCTCCTTATCCATCAAAGATAGATGTCCATGGCATCACTAACTTTCACCCAGTGATGTATCCATCAGAAGAGTACAATATACTAAAGGAGAGAGAAGATAGGCGGTTACCTTAAGCCTCATAACAGCATCAACTGCAAGTGTCGCAAAGTGTTCTTTGTCCTGGGAGAGAATCTTTGAACTCAAAGTTGTCATAGCAATGTTCATCAAATCTGACTTAAATTTCTCTGTATACACAAGTGCAGCACACATTAAAAACATTAAAGAAATTCTCATATGCATATTCAATAGAGTGCACGAATATATACCATACATGAGCATAGATATATCATCATACATAGCTCCTATGCATTAATAGAATAATAAGGACCTTCTGCATAGCAAATGGATTTTACTCAGACTATCCACATGTCAATAACAAATGCAAGTTTCGGTTTAGCCTTTTCATTTTACCTATGACTTAGAATTGAACGTTATTCTTTTGCAGTAAATATTTTTGTCTTTTAATTCTGGATTTCCTTTTTCAATGGAGAAGTGTCAATTGCAGTATTGCAACAACACGAGCAATAAGGTACCCTTTTCTTTTCTACCTGCAAGAAGACATTCTCAAATTAATGGCATTAACATCCCTTGTTAATCATCTTCTTTTGGGCAGGAAGTTTACGCCAGTTTGGGGATGTTACTTGAGATCCGTTTAAAATTCAAATCTTTCGTGAAATTTCATGGAAACACCACTCCAACTCTGCAACCTATACCATCCTGAATGTTACATTAAACGTTGGGCGCTTCTAGACGTCGGACTTGGCGCCCAACGCTTAGTCACCTAGACGGGCGCCTAAGCGGTTTTTGGGCGTTTTTTTTCTTTCTTCATTTAAGTGGTGGTCGATGAGGTTTTGCTGAAGGTCGGAGGAGGTAGTGGAGGTGTTCATATTTGGAGGTTAATGGAGTTTGGGGGACGTGTAGGCTACGATACATAAAATCACAATCAAGGTGGGCAGCCTAAATACCGCCTAGACGCTAGGCGCTAGTTAGGCGGCCTAGGTACCGTCTAGGTCTAGGCGTACGCCTAAGCGGACTAGGCGAAGGTTTTTTAAAACAGTGATGGGCTAATCCTGACTTGATTTAAATGAATGTTTCTATCTTGATGATGAATCGAAAATTTAGCCTGGCCAAATCCTGAATACTGGGCTAATCCTGACCCGTTTAAAATTCAAATCTTTCGTGAAATTTCATGGAAACACCACTCCAACTCTGCAACCTATACCATCCTGATGGGCTAATCCTGACTTGATTTAAATGAACGTTTCTATCTTGATGATGAATCGAAAATTTAGCCTGGCCAAATCCTGAATACTGTCTTGGGAGATTTTGGTTATAATTAAGGGATTTGAAATTATAATCCTCATTATTTTAGGCCTATAGCATTTTCATAGTTAGCATGGTATGTAAATCCTTACTTACCACCCATGCTCATTCTCCAGTAGTGGGTCCATAGCTGTGACACTTTCTGGCCTACAGAAAGAATCTATTTAGCTAAAACCTTTCACGACCTAATAAGGTAGGTTACAGTCTACTATTTTACAGGCTGGGTCTTGTTACAGATCATAAAACTTGAGAAGTTAGAACAATGTGTCCGCAACCAAAACTAACTGCCTTACTTGGAGGAAAGCTTGCACATGTGTTGTCCACTACATCAAGGATAATTCTAGCAAGGTTTTAAATATCGGATATCGGGGAAATATCGGATGGCCAAAATTCATATCGGATTGCGGATATCGGGGAAATATCGGGGATATGTGGTAAATATTGGAATGCCATAATGAATGTTTGCATACATAGTATAATGCATTAAAATGTAATCTCAACATATGTAATGAAATTTAAACATACAAAATATGAATAATATATGTTTAGGATCACTAATCAACCTTCTAAAACAAACAAAAGTGCAAAGCAACGTTGTAACATTCGATCTGCTTTTTTTAGGGCAAAATGTCATTTGATATAATGGGAAAATCTTGATATCTCGCCCAAAAATTCCAAACACGGTATATTATTTTGCAACAAGCTATATAAAAAGATATATTAGTCCACATATCGGCTAATATATCGGTCATATCGGAGATTTATCACTCAAAATAGCCAAAAATCGGTAAAGGATATTTAAAGACCATATCGGTTGCGGCAAGCCCTGTAAAAGGATATATCGGGGGATATATCGGGCCATGTTGGGGATATTTAAAACAATGAATTCTAGTGGTATATGCAATTCATAATTTATATCACAAAGATGCAAGAGGAAATAACTTAATACTCTACTCAACTTGGTATAAACATAAATGATAGCTACCTGGATCTTGTTTGTTATCCTTGGCTTTCTTTAACAATGCATTCCGTGCACATTCAGCAGCCATTCTATAACCTATGAAATAACAACAAGGTTCAGATATCCCAAAAGTCACATATTTAGAGTTGATCAAGAATGCTACAAACATATATTATGCAATGGAACTGGACCTTCAATTTACCACAAGGTTTCACGTATCGAATATTCAGGGAAATACTGGGGATATGGAGTAAATATTGGAGTGTCATGTCGGATGATGTGCATATATAATAATATGATGTCTTAAGATATAATCTAAACATACTTAATAAAACCTAAACATACAAAAATGTAAATTTTTTGTAACAGCCATATAAAAGGACATACCGATGACGATAAATATCAGCCATGTAGGGGAGATATCATCCAAAATTTGCCAAAAAGCAATAGCAAAGGATATTGAGACCATATCGTTTTGCGGCATATTGGCCAATATATCAGCTATATTGTGGATACAATGAAGTACCATAATCAAGAATGTATTACAAATTTCAAAAACCTTTGAAAAACATTAGGAAAACAAATATGTTTCTGTTTCATACTAGAATATGGTAGGTTTGACGAAGTGTCCCATAGTAAGGGTATTGTTCTTAACATCTCGCTGTCAATTATGCTTTGCCTTTGTTATGTGTTTGCACCTCCTCTTCCATTCATATTTCACAAAGTTACTACACTACAAATTATACACTTTATACTCTCATATGAATTGCTAAATAAAATCCCAAATAGAGCAGAAAAGTTTTACTTTTATATGCAATAGATACATATGCATTTGTGAATACATATATCCATGGCGTGCGTACGCATGAATATACATGTATGTGCATATGAATGTTATTGACCACACACAATAAGGTACCATGTTGCAGGGGGTCAAAACAGAACCATGCTTACCAAATCACAGAAAGTCTTCAGATAAACCAAAATTTGATGTGTACTGTAATGCAGAATGAATACATACGGATTTAAAATAAGTGGTGAGAGTAAATTGCAAATAAATCTAGGGAAATACCTGCTATAATAGTCATTGGATGAATCTTTGTCATTATTAACTTCTCTGCCTCCCTCAAAAACTCGCCCGCTAAAACAACAACAGATGTTGTACCATCACCCACTTCATCATCTTGAACTTTTGAAATATCTAAAGTCTTGATTAAGGAGCAACAAAGTTCTCTTCCATATTTTGTCACAAAAAAGTATCAAGATATAACACCCATGAACTTTTTAGACCTAGAAGATGTTACTTTTAGCTGTATATCAAAGGAAGCAGGATGAAGCATCAAAAATGACTTAGACAAAATGAAATGGTATACTGAACTTTAAGCAAGGACAAAGAAACAAGATCAGAGACTGAAAATCACATCACTACAAATATTACTTTCCAACACAAGAAAATGAGCAAGGATACCAACAAGAACCTTAGCAGCAGGGTTATCAATATGAAGCGACTTCAAGATAGTAGCGCCATCATTGGTAACTGTAACTGTACGCCCCCTCCCAGTGGACTGTAAAATTTTGTCCTACATTCACATGCATACATCATCACATAAAGTAAATAAATAAAAAATGGGTGCCGCAGCACAGCAAACATTCAAATTAAGTTTTAATTTGGAAGGTTATGTACCATTCCTTTTGGCCCTAAAGTAGTCTTAACTAAATCAGCAATGGACACTGCTCCGACATGTGTTACCTGCACCAAAGACAAACAGTAAAATGGCATAATAAATTTCGGGGAAAAAGGGGACAAACAGCGGAAATCGTAAGAGACAGAAAATATAACATCAATGCTTGTAAGTCCGAATCAAGCATATTTCTTTCTGCTTGCATGACAGGGTAATGGGATACAACTCCTTAACTTTGCTGATATGTTTAAAAAACTACTTAGCTTTATGTCATTTCTATACATATCTTCCTACCCAGTAAAACTTCTGTAGAGAACTACTTACTGAACAGTTATCTGTTAAAAATAAAAACTAAAATAAAAAGCCTAAATAAATAAATTTTGGGAATTTCTGAAAACAGAGGAATTTTTTGGGAGAAATATACAAAGCAAGATATATCCTTTTTTGCATTACATGAAGCTTCTGCAGTAGCATGCTACATGAATACAAAATTTTAGACTTCCAAGTTTTATCATGCTCATCTATTTATTTGTGGTCACCTTATCAACAATGAAAGGAACAACTCCTGGATGCACAACTTGGGTTTCAAGGTTGATGCTAGAAACAGAAAAGATATAATTTCTGTTGTATATGACGACAAACTTAATGGAGTACATTGTGATAAGAACATCATTTTTTTGTCATCCACATTTATAAATAAGAAACAAAATGAATACCTCCAACAGGGATTTGTTGAACTCCAGCAGATACCTGGGAAATGACTTTGTTGGATCTTACAAGATTGTAACTGAGGCTATCCAGTCAGACAATGTATTCCATTCCATGTCCATACCTAACTGTTAATTATCACAGTTATTTTTGTTACCCTTCTTTACAATTAGCCCACTGTCCTCCTGAATTCAACTCCTGTTTATGCCAGTGTTATTGAGGCGCTATCAGGGCGCGTGCAAGAGGCGCCGGATGCAGCAGCGCGGTAGAATGTTGTCCCACATGGGATGTGGGGTGCTGCACCTTACTGAGGAGCGTGCCTCAGTGCGTATGCAAAGCGCATCACGCCTCAGGCACATGCGCTCTGAGACGTTGCCTCATTGAAGTGGTGGTTTTTCTTAAACGGGTGTTTACCCAATAACCCGACCCGCTTCACTTCT